CCCCAAAACCCCAAAACCCCAAAACCCCGAGAAGCATATTTATTAATTTAGATTAAGATCATAAATTCGATTATAACAATAATTACTAAAATCAATAAAAATGATGAATAAGGGTAAAACACCGAAGTCTGTGAAATCTATGAATTCAACTGACATGAAAATGCAATAAGAAGACAAGGAGCTAGATGAATTACTATTAGATGACTCGTCTTAGATTGGCAAGTAAGATTAGAAACAACAAGTCAAATCAAAGAGGACAGTTATTGCCAAAAAAGGCAGCTAATTCAAACAGATCCAGGACTTTCAAGAGTAAGTTATCTTTTTAAACCAAATTTATCGCATTATAACCACCTCTATAATGATGCTTAAATATATGTTTCTAGGTTTGCTGACGATGTAGCAGATTAAATCTAATCTTTTTATGAGAACTGTGATAAAATCTAAGAGCTATACCCGAAGTTAAGGATAAACCAGATCAATAACTTTAAAAACGACATTGATGACATTGTCGGTTTCGAACTAGATGAGTTACACTATTACATGACCAGGGTTCATCATTTGTCACTGACTAAGTTTGTCTACACCTGGCAAGAATTTATGGAAAAAGTCCTTCCTGCTTATGGCAGATACGCAACAAGAATGAGAGTGATGGGAAGAGACAATTACTATCTTGTTGGAAAAGATCTAGAAGAGGGAAACATTTAGGAGGAGGAAGATCAAGACGAGGATGGGGGCATGAAGCTAGTCAAGAATAGCTATGGAGCATATGAGATGGTGCCAACAGAAAATACAACTCAAGATAAAGATTAGAACGAGGAAGAGAAGGCAAAGTTGAGAAGCAGAGGATAAGAAATATTTCAGATGAAACTCGATAAGCACTTTGATAAGATTAAGGAGGTATTTTTATAATGCTGTGGCAATAAAAAGAAAAAGGACGGAGCAATGCAAACTAAGACTACTATTTAAACTATTAATGAAACTGATGCTCCAAAAGATCAAATGAAGCTGATTAAGTTGAACAGATTTGTTGATGATTTAGCCTACATATGTGGGTTAGTGTTCATATACTTTGAGCGATACTTAGCCAATGGAATTATTGATCAGAGATCTCAAAAGGAATTCGTTAAGAAGCTAAAACATAAACTTTGGCTTGAGGCTCATGAAGAGGCAGCCAAGAGTGATTAGAAGCTAAAACATAACATGACTGAAATCATAAAATCCTAGAAAATTCCAGCATCACAAGCTTCATCAAGAAAATCTTAGCCCTTATTGCCTGTATTGAAGAAAAAAGAAACTAACTTTGATCAGAAAATCAATGAAAATAGAGAAGATTAGGAGACCAAGATAAGGTTTGAAGATGAATTGTACAAGAAGGAGAAGAATGATATGCGAATTTCATTTGACATGTTTGTCAGAGTACTTGAAAATATCTTTGAAGAAGACACCAACTTGGTAGCTATAGATTCAAATCACGAACTTGATGAATACTTTAAGCAGTAACTGGAATATGAGAAGCATATGAATGATGACAACTATGATCCCTTTTAGAATGAGCTTTAGCAACAGATAGAGCATTATGAGAAGATGCTTGGAATAAATCAGATGACTGCCGAGTATCCACCATTAAATATGCTTCCAAAAGCATTTGAGTTTAAATCATAAAATGAGAAAGATATCACAGTAAAACTGCTAGAGCATGCCAAATAATAATTAGCTGATTATCTTTAAGCAAAAGCAAATCAGATAGCATACTTAGATATGAAAAGTAATCAGAACTAGACTCTAGAATAGATGAGATAGAGATCAGTGCGCTAAATCTTTTACTTCTATACTGGCTAGCATTGGAAATGGAATATGAGTTTCGATTAGTTGATGGAGAAGAAAAGTTTACTGGACTTCGGTGAGTTCAACATATTCTGCAAGGATTTTAAGGTGCCACTGCCAAAGAGTAAAATTTAGATAGTGTTCAAGAAGTGCTCAGTCAATCATAGACCGCATGAATTGGAATAATTCTCTAAGGCGTTGGAAACTCTAGGAGTTGAAGTAAACACTTTTAAAATTGAACAGATGGAAAAAAGACTTGAAGAGATTGGAAAGATTGAAAAGCTAAGAAGAGAGAGGCAAATGAAGAAAATTGAGAAGGTAAAGAGACTTAATGATGGTAAATAGTTTCATGATCTTCTCCAAAAGCTTGAATAATCTGCAATACTAGAAGAAGAGAAAGAGGATGAAGCTAATGAGAAAGAGAAGTAGAATAAAGAGGAAAAACCTCCAAAGGACACTGGAAAGAGTGTAACTGAAGAGACTAAGAAGGATGCAGATGAGACTATTCAATGGGATAATTTGCAAAACCAAACAGTGAATCTTGATGAATCAATTGCATTGACTTAGGCCCCAATTGTAGGCTAATAAGAAGGTAAGGCTCGAAGAAACTCATAGATGAGTATGGGTAAAAAATCTATCATTCCAACTTAATCAGTAGCTAAGGCCTCAATGAAGTCACAATAATCAAATAGAACTTAGAATAGACTAGCTTTCGAAGAGTAATTGCAACTAGACAAACTGGGAAAGCTAGACTCTAGACTTCCTGAGCCAATCAGTGTGGAAAAGATAAAATTGTAGTAGCAGGTCAACTAGCTTAAAGCCAAAACTGAACGCTAACTCATAGATGAGTTCTTTGAATTCCTTGAACTTCATGATCTGACTCTTTACAGAGTAAAGCTTAAAGGCCTGAGAGTGAATCCATTTGACATGAGAGACAACTACCAGAGAATAGCTGCTGGAGAGATGAGAAACCGTGAATTGCAAAGAGCTAAACTAACAGCTGATCAGATCAGAGAAAAAGTGCAGGTAATGAGAGATAAAAGACTCAGAGAGTAGAAAGTAAGAGAGATGAGGGAAAAGAAAAAACAAGATGATCAAAGAGTTCAGCAGCAAAAGGCTTATGAGCTCAATAGAAAGAAAAGAGCTTCAGATGAGGCCTAGAAAATGCAATAGCTGCAGTAATTAAAGCATGGTATATCCTAGCCTTAACCAGTCTAGCTGGGTGAAAAGCAGACTTATATGGATGTTAGAAATAAACAGCTAGGCATTGCCCCTGAGGATACCAAGAATCTTAAACTGACTCTTGAAGATCTGGAGCGAATGAACTACGAAGACATCTGGGAAAACAAGCCAGATGACTTCAAGCCTTCAGATTTTTTCAATGAGAGTCGTAAAAAGGGCAAAGGCAAAAAGCATCATAGCAAGGCAAGGTATGATAAGAATAACTAGGGGTAGAATCTAAATGATAGTGTGGATTCGACTCTGCACCGTATGGTAGTTGGAGATGAGTCCTTTGACAACAGAAATGAAAAGCTCTACAATATTAAGAAGGAAAGAAAGTAATAGGAGCAATTAGCACAAAACTAGCAGAATAATTAAAACTAAAATTAGCAGAAGAAGATTAGAATAGATAATTAACCAAAGACTTAAGGAGGAGCAGTTACAGAACGTAGCAAGAGAGGGGGAAATTAACCCTTATAAAATCAATAGCCTGGCAGAAGAAGAGGCACTACACCTGACTTATCTAGAAATCATCAATAATAGTAGAGATCTAAAAGTAATCATAAAGTCAATAAATCTCTTAATAAATCATCAATTTCAGGCCATAGTAAATCACCAAAGCGCAAGCAATCTATGAACCCCAAAGCTCATCAATCTCTAGATTTACAATCAATGAAGAACAAACGAAGCGGTTCAAGTAAAAACCTCTTAGCAGGCTTGCAGCCAAATAGTGTCAAGAACTAAAAGATGCTAGCTATATAGTATCCTGGCTCAGTTATTCAAAACAAGTCAAATGTCAAGACAGCTGGAGGACTTGGTGTCTCTCACAGTGTTGCAAATCTTAAGCAGAAAATAGCAGGTAGCTAGAGTTAAGTTGTACCTTACAACCCTAAGCATGTTCCAATGACTCAGATATAAAACAATAAATACAAGGTAAATGAACAAGGGTTGATAAAGGCGTAGCAACTGGATAGTAAATAAAAAATCAAAGCTAATATTAACATGGCTAATATTCTCAAGATGCATGATAAGTAAATCGAAAAAGGTCTAAACACAGCCAGAAGATGATAATCACCTATGACTTTATTTTAATAATCTTTATTTCATAAATTGCTTCAATAATCTTCACAATGGGGTTTTGGGGTTTTGGGGTTTTGGGG